GCAATCCACACAGATCTGACAGCCATACAGTTGACAGGAAAAGCTAGAGTCAGCCCATACAGGCAGGCCTTCAGCAATTACAAGACAGGTCCTCAAAGCCGAGAGGCCATCCAAGTCCAAGAGTACGTCAAGCAGGCTAACTTCGGCAGGGGTGATGGGTGGTACATCCTTCCTTGGGAAGTAATCAATGCTGTCTTCCGGGCCTTCCTCCCATAATGGGGAGGAGCGTGTGTGAGTAGTAGAGTACCCATTGTAATTATTTCTGACTTGCCGGTGGAATAGGAACCGGACTGATACTCCGCAGAATGGAAAAGGAGCCAGAACCGCAAGGTTCCATACTCCGCAGAATGGAAAAGGAGCCAGAACCGCAAGGTTCCGTTAAAAATATATATATATCGTCAAATAGAACTGCCCGGTAAACCGTAGGCAGAGAGGGAGAAGAGGACAACAAACGAGGGTTGCCAGGCCGAACGTACGGAGGCCCCTAAGCTGACCCCCCAACGTTCAGGCGTTCGGGTTCCCGTACGGGGCCCGAACTTGGAAGGGGTTCGGACCCCGCAAAAAAAATATTTTGGCACCTAAATATTATTATTGTTTTCTGAATTTTTTTTTGCGAGTTCTTTGTGATGTAAGGTATCTCCCTCTTAATTTTGAAGCCATTCTCTCCAGCCAAAAAAAAAAAGAAAAATCCTCAAAGATGGTGGTGTCAAAACTTGCTTGCCCACTCACTAATTTGTTTTTTCTCTCTTTTCACTTTTTGTTTTTCCTTTATTTCAGGGCATGAAAAAAATTATTATTTTTTCAAACTTTATTTGTAGATTCTCTATTATGTAAGATACACATATATAAATTTACATAGCATTTATCACAGCCAAAAAGAAATGAAAAATTGCCAAAGATGACGGACTCCAAAACGTGCTCGCCCACTCGATAATCTCATTCTCGTTTTATTTTTTATAATTTTCATTATTATTATTTATTTATAGTATTTGATTTTTATTTCAATTTTGGTAACCAATTTGCATGCAACGTTGAGGCAAATGTTGTTTAGTTTATTCTTATGCATAACATATATATTTTTCAGATTTTTTGGAGTTCTTTTTTTTTTTTTTTGGGGGGGAAGGGKGGGGGGGCTGGGGTGTTCCGCGTTCGGCCGAACAGCCGAACGATGCGAGAGCGTGTGCCGAACGTTCGGGCATCCGGCCCGTCCCAAACGCCGGCAACCTTGTATATATACATATGCCTGTATATATCTGTATATATATATATATATACAGGGTAACCGGCATTCGGGATGGGCCGAACGCCCGAACCCGAACGCCCGAACGTATGGGGGGGAAAAAAAAAAAAATCATCAAAAAAATCTGAAAAAAGATATGTTATGGAGAAAAAAAAATTAAACAAGATTTGCCTGAGCATTACATCCGAATTCCTTACCAAATTTGAAATAAAAATAAAATACAGAAAACAAATACTAATAATAAAAATAAAAAGAGAATTAAATTTTGTGAGTGCGCGAGCATGTTTTCGACACCGCCATCTTTGGCGATTTTTCATTTTTTTTTGGGCATAGCTAAATGCCCTGAAAATTTACAGATGTGTACTTCACATAATACAAAACCCACTAAAAAAGTTTCAAAAAGTAATAAAATTGTTTAGACCCCGAACTAAAGCGAAAACAAAAAGTAAAAAGTGAAAAAATACGTGAGCGAGCACGTTTTGACACCGCCATCTGTGGCGATTTTTAATTCTTATTTGGCTTAGCCAAATGACTCGAAAATTCACAGGCATGTACCTCACGTCATAGAGAACTCACAAAAAAAAATTCAGAAAAAAAATGATTATTTTTAGGCCCCGAAATAATTTATGGCGGGGGCCGAACACCGTCGGCTTTGGACCCCGTACGGGACCCCGAACGCCCATACGTACGGAGGTCTGCCCGGGGACCTCCGTACGTACGGGCTGGTGACCCT